GCAGAGGAATTGTGGTAAGAGGCACCAAGTGTGTCTTTTGCCTAAAAGAGTCTCTGATGTACAGTAATTTTGACAAGTTAAGATAGGTGAGTCCCCAAGACATGGCAGTGTCAGAACTACTTTCTAACAAACAGCTTCATTGCTGGCTCTACTGTGGAGACTGCAGGGCACTACTGAATAATCAGTTGAGTTAAAAGGTTTGTGATATATGACATTCTGTTCTGCTTACATACAGATTGCACCCTTTTTTTGACTGGGAAGAGAAGACATGAGAAACTGCAAAAGATGAGCCTCTGAAAACGCAGCTCAGAAGTTCCTGGGACTGATTATTGTATGAAACAGACAACAAGCACAATGTCAGATTCATTACTCATGAATCTCCCTGGAGTGACTTGCAACTACAACTTGCTTTGTTGTTGTCTATAAAAGCACTGAGTAAATACAGAGTTCAATATGCATTGATTATCTCAGCAGCTCTGATCTCCTTAAAGATCAAACCTGTAAGGTTACTCAGTTTGTTTCAAGTTCATAGATAGACACTGGAATTTTTTCTAGGAATAATTCCCTTGTTGCTATTCTTAGCTATATTATGATTCTTCACTATGATTTATTGCTGAAAGAAAAAAGAAGACAAAACCCTTCAGTTGTAGAGCTGTGTAATAATACTGTATCACTCACAATTTATTTTTCTTTCAGTTTTAGTTCCACCTCTTGGATACCTGTGGCTAACACTTTTGCTTGTCCGTCATTTATGCTCCCTTGCAGACTGCACAGGAACCAACGTAGACCACTGAAGAGCTCAGCATACAACAAAATAAGTGGCTGACTAACCTGCAGAAAATACTCATGAAAAACTCCTCGAAACAACACAAGCTGGCACTACAGAATGCCATAATCTAAAAAATGTAAACTCAATGAGTGATGGTGTAATATTCATACAAATTTTGATGGTAAAGGAGCATGTAATGGTAAAACAGAAAACTAGTATTAAATTGTTAAACGATCGATGATTTTTCTTGCACTGCAAACTGATGCTAGTAGCAACTAAAATACTTCAGAAGTTTAAGCGATGAAGAAGAGAGCAAGTATGTTCGTATTGATAAAATGCCTCTAAAGATCATGAAAACTACTAAGCGTGGAAGTGTAACTTTAGCAAAGTCTAAAGAGAAGAAGATTATTGCATTGTTGTCCAACCCCTCTGACAATCTGATATGTATTCAAATTAAGTTAAAACATATTATTCAAACTTATTTGATTGTGCTGAAAATAACTTTCCATTACTCTAGGTACATAAAAAAGTATCTACATCATGAAAGAGACTAAAGGGTTTTCCATGGTGTTTCACATGCTGCAGAGAATGGTGAAGCTGTAATTTTTGTGCTGTGAATGTGTTACTTCCTTTAGCTATTTGTAAAACAATAGCTTAATTCAGATTTGATTCAGTGATTCCAGCCTTTGGTGCATTTTATAGCACAGTCTGTTCCCAGCTAGTAGGTGGATTGCAGATGTGCATGTTTTTCTTCCGCTGTGTGGGAAAGAAGACTGAAGGAAACACCAGGTATCTACTTTGTTTCCTGGTGCCTATTGATAGGGGCTGATTTCCATTTCAGAACTTCTTGTAAGGCATATGGAGGTTCTTGACTCTTCATTATTCTACCCATTTGGCTTGCCCTTGGCTTCATTTCTTTTCTTCATCCTACCCCATATACTACTCACATGCATTATTTTTGTCTTGCTTTCTGAAAGTAGGCATTTTATTCTGTAAATGAGATAAGTTGACAGGGAATGACAGTCCTTGTTTGTGCTGGCATCACCTTCATATTGCAAGATCTTTGGTGCTTGTTGAGTAGCAGGCATACAATCAGTATCTGGGGCCTGTACAACAGCAGCAGTTATGTCAGGCATTGCCCTTGAAAGTGTGATTCATGAAAACTGAAGCTAATAACAATTGATAGGAATGAAGAAATAACTGAGTTTTAATATTAGAAGTCTTGTTTTGATACCTAAACCTGCTGAATATTACTTCTTTTTTGGGAACCAGAGCAGGCATTTTGGTTCAAGCTAAGATTCAAGTGAAACAATAACATTCGTTACAACACATCAGAATCACTAAAATTATGGCTAAATCAAATAAGAAAACCAGTAATATTTATTTTTATATCACTTTTAAAGATTAGCAAATATTAACTTGGCAGAGAACTGTTCATTGCAGCATCTCCTTGATGTATCAGTTAATATATCTGAAATCTTGAGCACTTCTGTGGCAAAATCTATTGACTTCAATGTACATCTTTGTAAATAAAATGGGAATATGGCATGAAAAATAAGCTGATACATGATAGTCTATCTATTACATAAATGCATGAATTGAGAGAATAGTGATATTTAAATTGTTGAAGTTAGAAAAGCCTTTTTCCAATATGAAAATCTATGTACGCTAGTAACAAGTGGCAAAACTTGAACATTGAAATTCATGCCTTACACTCTTGTACAAAATACCATTGCTACTACCATAAACAGCTGCTGTCATGCTACATGGAAGGTAATTGCACTAATATTTAGAAAGGTAATCTTTTGATTTCAACAATTAGAACTAGAATCTAAGATGGCTATTTGAAACTACACAAAAGTGTAAGGAACACTACTAAAATATATACTGGTTGCTTTTCTGAACTTTAAGCCTCTATCCATTCTCTAATTTGTCATTAAATATAGTTTGATGGATAAATTTTACTTATGCATAGAGATATACTAACTTTAATAAGGGTTGTTTAATAAACTCTTCAGCCATTCTGGTATAGAAAGCTCAGTAAAAGTTCGCTTCAGTTCCTTGTCTTCAGATGAAGCTTTCAAAAAATCAAGAAACACATAAGGTACAAACTCTCATTCCCCAGAGTTGGCATCATGGGATCATCAGGAGAGGATGGAAAGATTATGGGAGAATTACATACGAGTTCTGAATTCCCCTAACTCCAATAACCCTTCCAATCTCGTTAAGTAAGGAACATTTTAGGGGAAAAAAATCGCAATGCGTTGTGTCTTAAGCTGTGGCTTGATTAAATATTTCTTTTGGCAACAGTATTGGCTTAAGTAGCCCACAACTCCCCTGTTGCTCTCTACAGAATGACTGGCTTAGAGAATTAACCCAGTCAAAAATAAGCTGTAACAGCCACAGCAACACTAAAGAGACTAGAATGAACAGGGTGGCAGAATCTGTTAAATTAGTACTTATGAAAGAAATGTTCCTTATACCATGCACAGGTATCAGTTAATTAAGAAGTCCAGCCTCTTTTGAGTTATATTATCCAATCCCATCCCAGAAATCATGATATATGACATGACAAATTAGATTGGACCAAAGCCAGTAAGAAAAAGAGCAGATGCAAGGACTCTTGCCATCCTCTACTGAGAGATCTACATAGAAGGCTACAGATTATTTCTCTTTGCTCTGTGACTTCCATGAGTATTTTGGTCTCTAATGTTCCCTAGTACAGCATCTACAGCATGAGTTGCCCCATAATAAGGGCACTGGTCTGAGACATAAAAGTTTGAAAGACAGAGTTAGATCTAGGTATCTCTCTTTCAGGCCAAATGCAGTAACCATTAAAATAACATAAAACATTTTGTACTGACTCAATGCTCTAACCCACTGTAGAAAACATAGACAATGGATATTATTGTTAAGACAGCTTAGGTGTTGCTCTTTCTCATATTTTGACTCCCATGAGACTTACACTGCAGCTGTATGCCAAGCTGCTCAGGTGGAAGCAGTTCTGTGTCTAAGCAAAAAAAAAACCTAAACCACAGGCATGAAGAGCATTTTCAAGAAGCTGAAAATGTAGGCACTTTGAGGTTTAAGCATGTCTGGGGTAGGATTATACACCTAAAATCTGCTCAACTCAAAAATGTCAGTCTGTCTTGAACCTGTACCCTACCACAGTACAAGTTATGAACTGGATACCCCAGAATCCAGTTATAAAATTTTGACATGCTTAACATTGCTCCCGATAGCAAATAGTAAATTTTGCTACTGACTTCAACATGATAGATTGCTTACATTCCACAAGAGGTTTGTTTGTTTGTTTGTTTTTTAACTTTTCAATGGGAGTTTTATTAGAATGAATAGCAGCTTCACAATTCTTGTCAATTGTCAGTCTTTGAATTTCCTGTTTTGGTTCGTGTAGGCATTAATCACCACATACTGTATTAACATGGTTCTTAGAGCTTTGTAAACAATCTCACTGGACAGTCATCTAGTGTTAGGAAGTGGCACTTTATATCTACATAAAAGATGAAATGACCGTAATTGTAAAAGAACAAAACCTAGACAGAAAGGATGGACTTCAAAAACTAAATAGCTTTTGTTTGCTTTTGTTTGTTTTTAGCTTGCTCACAGTGATCCTGCTAAAAGAACGTGTAATTGTGTTTCACAGTCTATGACGCAATCAACTTTAGAAGGTAATTTTGAAGGAGCAATCTCTTTTAGCTTCTCATTGCCCATTCTTTCCTTTCTCTGGACCCGAACACTGTTTCATATTTGCACTTACTGATTAATATATGTAAGTAGAAACAGTTATGCAAAACATACATTTATTTAAAGGATAACAGAATAGAAAATCTCACTTGAATTTCCAAATTTAGCCATTCTGACATTAAGCATATTTAAGTCCAAATCTTTCTACACGAAGACTTGCAAACTGAAGTTTACCATATCCTAGTGTAAAGGATTCCAAACACAACTAATCACAACTGAACTAAGAATATGAGTGAAGAACTAGTTAAACTTGCATGATTTAGTACTAATAAACTTGAAATAGAAGAGCAGATTTTTTCCCAAATGGTCCATTTAATAATTTGAAGCGCTGATATTTGTAAGTAGATTTCTTAAAAATATATATATCTCTCATTTTAAAACAACAGCATTCCAAAGCATAAATAAATTTGATTTGAAAGGAAGATCATCTTCTCTGCAGAAGTGAATGCAAAAATAGGCCAGCACTTCAGTCACTACTAGAACTGTCTGAACTATCAGAAGATGAACTTTTTTCCTTTCGTCTCTTCTTTTTCTCCTTTTTATGATGTTTTCCTTTCTTAGACTTATTCTTTTTTACCTTTTCCCTTTCTTTTTTGTGCGATTTTTGTTTTTTTGACTTTGGCCCATCCTCTTCAGCTGCACTTGATGAGGAAGATCTAGTAAAAAAAAATATATACAGGTTGATACGTAATTAAAGAAGAAAAATGCAACAAGAATAATGTGGGGTTTTTAATTTCAGTATTTAAATAAAGTCACAAATAGAATTTGGTGTAGAATTCATACAAGCTGGAAAGCTTATGATATCCCAGTCTGCATGTTCAACTGAACGACTTTTCTAATTAGACTATTGTGCCAGAAAAGCAGTATGTTTATTACAGAGATCAATTAACACTGGAATAGGCAAGTTGCGTGTTTTTCAACCTTCAATAAGAAAAAGACTAAGAGTACAGACCGACAGAAAACTGGAAGTATGACAGTAAGATAGAGCTTCCAGCTTTTAAAATACCACATGACTAATAACAATGCTACAGTAATGTCTTCAGACAAATCTTATATTTCTCTCATGCAAAAATCTAAGAGAAACAAATGTATGACAAATTTGGATGCTCTTGCAGCTGGTAATATTGGTCTCTAACCAGCAGTGATAAGTGATTACATACATAGAAGAATTAAGATGACAATAACAGGAAAATCACAATTATTATACTCAAGAGGTCAGTTTTGTGCTATTGTTTACATGATTAACTATTAATTATCTACATGTAAAGACTGTAGCCAGCAGACTGACTCTTTTCTACTGTCTTCATAAGCGTAAGTTAGAGCTACACTATGTAAACAAGGAAGGGGAAAAATGCCAATACAACCAGTGTTAAATCCTGTTTCTTTATTTCTGAAAAACATCTTACTGTGGCCTCCAAATACATTATACATTTCCTAGCTCTCAGTGCAGTTCCTGGGATATTGTCTCAACAGTCCTAATGACTAACCAGTCTATAGTCTCATCTAAAAAAAAAAAAAAAAAAAAAATCCGTCAGCAGGCCAAAACTCAGATTCACAATAAAGTTGAGTATTACGACATTTTCCTTTGAGACTGGAGTAACACTTCTTTTAGGCTTCTACAATAACAGGAACATCAAAACTCAACACATGCTCAGTAAAACTACAGAAGTTTTCCTTTTGATAGGTACATGTTACTCAGAGTGTGTGTGTATGCGCGCACGTGTGTATGTGTCTGCACATGCATGTGTGCACGCAGGGAATCTTAGGGTCTCTGAACTGCAGGGAGGCTTCTTCATGCAAGCTAAGCTGGGGACCAACTCCATAATCCCCTTGACTCCTTGGTCTTTTCCCACCACATCTTGTCTAGTGTTGGATAGTCAGAGAGAGCATTGCTTTCTAAGACCTGCGGACCTCCAGCTTGCTAGAGCTTTCTAGACTTCCATGGTCCTAACTCAACAGCACAAAGCCTGTGGCTTTCACATTACTCAAAGAACAACAAGTTCTCACTGGAAAACAGGAAGCTTTTCAAACCGAAGATGTACTTGCGAATAAAGCTGCGTCAAAAGAAGCAATGTTTTCTAAGAAACAACCCAAACATCAGAAATATTTCTAAAGGTCTGTTTTGAAATTAAAATACGTGTGTGATAGTTACCTTTTCCTTGGTCTCTTCAATTTTGCTTTTTCTTTGCTTTTTCTTTTTTGTTTCTTTTTTTCTTCCTCCTCATTTAAATCTATGGATAAAAAGTTACAGTTTACAAAAAGCTTGTCTGAATTAAGAGCAGCATTAGAAGAGTGGCTTCAATAGCAATGTAAAGTTACTACAAAATTCTTGTTAAAAGTTTTTCTTTTCCTTCCCCCAAATTTTGGTCTAGTATAGTAATTTCAGAAATATTTTGTGGAGTAGCAGAACTTTTTATATAACTTACATTCTAATGACTTTGATCTAAGCACTAAGAATGAAGGAAGGGCCATAAAACGTAGCAAAAAGTTGTGACTTTTCCTATATGTTTACATCAGCTTTAGGTTTTCATATCCATTCTTCTGTATTTTAAAAGACTTGCCCAAGTCCGAAAACAGGTCATTTAACTAGAACGTATGAAAAAAAGAATATTCCCGTAGGCTTACTTGAATTACTTTCACACATCCTCATTTCACCCTTCACAAATAGCTATGCCATAACTAAGATAAATTTGAGTTAACTGTCAATATACTGTCTACAAAAATTGGCAGAAGAGTCACCCCTCATCTACTCATGTTTGCTTCCTGCCCTAACACTGTATAGTATTGCATAGTATCTTCACATTTCACTTACAAGCAATATTTTTATCACACTTTTCTATACCAGTTCAAAAAGTATTTCTGAATTCTCCGAAATGCAAATCCATTACATAAACACACATTACAATGTCAGCTAACAGGAAAATACTGTCTTTACAATTTAGCCTTAAAACAGATAGCTAATTTTGAGTATTTCATCTTATTTCTATCATACAAATAACTTTCCATAGAGTCTGCATGCTACTGCAGTTACTCATTTGCTACCACGAATAGAAATTACTGGTCTGCATGTTCTGGAGCAAAATTTGAGACAATTCAATATGAATTAAAAAAAGAAAATTACTTTTGGACCAATTAAAAACCATGAACAAGAATGTGTGAACAAGCACTCAGTATTTTTTTTAAGAAAATGGAGCAAAAATCTAAGTGCAAACAGTGCAAAAATCTTGAGAAGATGAGGCCACTTGAAAATGGCAAAATCCTGCCCAGATTATTGACAGTTAAAGATACATAGCTCCTTACAGTACACATAGCAGCTACAGTTTGAGAAAGAACATACGGATATTACAAGACCAAGTAAACAGCTGTTCCTCTTGCAGATATCCACCTTCAATCAGTTTAGTGCCAAAAAAACCCCTTACATTCAAAATACATAGTAAGTGGCAACAAACTCTTCCAAAGAGACTTGTTCCAAGAAAGGACTGTTGCAGTACCAATTCAGCAGTCCTGACAAGCAGACTATCCATTTCATTTGAAGTGTTCCAGCAAATTACAGGGTTCTATCTATCCCTTCTCCTTCCAAAATAGCATCGTTAGTAGGAACTGAATGTCCAGTCTGGAATATGAGAGCAACAGAACAAAACATGATGTTTCAAGGGACAAAGGGGAAGAACATTCATTCATTTAAAACACGCGATGGTGGAACAATGTCCCCTTCTTACTTAGGGGAACAGCCTCTTTGGAGTCCAAACTCAAATGAACTCAAGTATCTGCTAAATAACCCATCTATTCTCTCTCTGACAAACAGTTGATGCTTAGACCTTCCAAACAGAGAACGGTACATTTCCAAATACGAATGTTGAAATTCAGTTCATTAGCTGTTTCAGTCAAATCACTACTTAGAAACTGGAAATTCAGCTGTCATATTTGCCATTAGCTTTAAGAGTTACTATCAACTTTAAGATGTTTAAACTACATGCCATAATCAAAAGATTAATACAGAATATCCATGCCATTTTCTCCTAAGCAGCTTCTTAGCAACAGTCTTATAAGCTTTTGTATTTAGGAGCCCTTTTTGAGATGTTCCAAATGGATACATTATTAATTTCCTAAGACAGGAGTTAATAATAATAAAAAAAGATATAGGTGTATCAAATCTCTGAAATCTGAACATATGAAGTAAAAGACCTACTTCTAAAGCACAGGCTAAAAGAACTAATAGTAGTTATCAAAAAGGAAAAAATGAGAGTTCCAGTACTTCAGAAGACGATTATCCAATTTACTCTTTAAGAAAAAAAAAACAAACACCACCTTACTTTTTTTTTCACGCATGGCTTGCAATCTCTGTAGTTCTTCTTCCTCACTGTCTTCACTGCTAGTGCTGCTAACATCTAAAACAATATCTCTCTGAGGATCTACTCGGAGAAAGTTTCGGCATTCAAATGTCAGATGACCAGCTGAACAAAACAAATATTCAGAAAGAAAAATTACAACGTACCAAAAAATACCAGAAACTAAAGAACATCCATTTTAGTACTATTCAGTTTTGAGAAGTGAAAAAAGGCTAGGCTGCAACCTGTAAACAAGGAGGGAGAAGGCTTACTTTAAAAAAGCCTGAAAGAATTTTGACAGGTTGTGCAATGTTTTGCATTTAATAATGCTTTATGACCTCTGCCTTATTTCTGTTAATTTAAAGATTTTGTCCAACCTTTATTTTCTATTTTTTTAATGATCTCAGATCCTTCCTGGAGAAATTACCTAAAAGCATGAAATGAAGTATTTAAAAAACTACAGCAAGTGTGTTATATTGCTCTTCTGCAATATTGTTTTCGTGAAACAGAAAATCCTATTCACTTATGAGACATAATCTTTAGCAACTAGTACATCACAGAATCATAGAATAGAATCATTGAGGTTG